AAAAAATTAAATTGAACACAATATGAACTTTAATTCAAACTATGAAATCTAAGGAACTTAAGGGCTAATTACATAATTTTACTATTTTTCTTTGGTTTATAAATTAACATTAAACCAAACATAAACACATTCAAAATAAACAAAGGAACTCAAACACGATATTACAAATTTAAACTAACATGAACACTATAAAAAATAAACTACCGAACACAAGCAAGATATTAAAAACGTAAACAAACACAAACTGAACATTAATATATTTAAAAATAATCAGATGAACACATTTTTGTTCGTTAAAACCCAATTCATTTACAACCTTAATTATGGTGAACTACCGAGGAAAGATTGTAACATCCCAACCCGTACCCGACCCGGATACGAGTATAAAATGTCACATTGACTTTTCAAAACAATATCATTACCAAATAAGAGAACATTTGAACTTATATTAAGAAAATACAATCATATACTTGTTGAATTTTGTTCCATTATAACAAATTTAAAGAAAAACGTTTTTATGAATAGTACTATACTATATGAATTGTACTATACTGTATGAACAATACAGTGAATAGTACTATGAACAGTGCTGCAGTGTACCGATGCACTGCTATAGTGTACCAATGCACAAAAATATCGAATATAAATTATGTTTCGATGCACTGCTACAGTGTATCGATGCACTACTACAGTACTATTACAGTAACTTCAACTCAACTTATATAAAACTCATAAAAATTTAAGCCTTCATCAATATAAAATTACCATTTACATATATACGTTATTACAAAACTCGATCATATGATTTTACAAAACCTATTAGAGCATATCGGTTTCAAACCTTTATTTACATGACAATCACTATAAGTATTACAAAATACATATTATTAAATTCTTTTCTGGTCTGATCTTTGGAAAGGAGAAACTGACTTGTCTTGCATAACTTTTATCATTCTTCCTCTTCTCGGAACCTACGTGTGAAACAATCACACGCTAAGTCGTTGATTTAGTGAGGCATATAAAAAACATGTAATAAAAACCATAAAACATTTCATATAACAGAATACATGCATGCATATATATCATCATTATCATGATCTCTACCATTATCATTAACTCATTTACCATATGATCTTGTACTTATCATTTCGGTATATCATATATCATTTCACAAAGAAACACACATAACATCATATAATCATGCAAACACTTTTAATATCTTTTATAGACCCATGTACATTACTGAGAACTCAAGGTATTCGAGTACATTGAGGTTGTGCACTATTGTTATCACCACAGCTCGTATGAGGTCCCACTAGGGGCATATGAATTTTGTCCCGAATGACATATGTATTGTATTTGACCCGAAGTACCACTCCTAAAGAACCATATTCATATTCCAATGGATCAAATATGTCTCAAAAGGCCCTGTAAATATTCCAAATGATACATATACGTCCCGAAGGACCACGTATAACCCTCAACTCTTGGCATGCCAACTATACCACCAGCTCTCATATCATATAACATGGGCATTATAATTTATACATTTCATATCACTTGTTCTTTCTCTTCTATCACATACCACATGTATGTGTAACCATATATATCATCATATATCACATGTATCACAAGTGCATGATTCACGTAGATCGTTTCATATGGCTTATATCATTTTTTATTTGTTCATGTAAACTCGCATGTCATATCATGTAACATATATCACATGTTGCATTTTCACGTAAGTGTCGGAACCGTCTTTCGGTTGACACCGGAGTTGGGCTTCGACTTGGATTAAATACTTAGGAGTTGCCACCGACTATTTTAAAACGAATTTAGGTGGGTCGGACACCATCTTACCTGATCTGTGTTGTACCATAAACGTGTCAGGTTCGGGAGTCGGTTATGGTCAAGGAAGGATTAGCGCCCTTGAACCGCCCTTTCAGTACCAATTAATTTGTCGGTTGTCTTTAATTGCGAAAAATTAGGAATTTAAATTGAAATTTAAGATATTCGATTCGAACTGCTTACCTTTTATTGGATGGAGTTACTAAAAATACAATCGAAAATGTTAGACAAAAGATGATAAATAATGTTAAAAAAAAGAAAAGGGGAAAAGTAAAATATAAATATAGATCAAATGAAAAAAAATATTAAATAAATAAAAAAAATAAAATAATAAAGGAAAATAGATAAATTAAAAAAAAAGAATAAATAGCATAAAATGAAAGGAAAAAGCAGTTAAAAACAAAAGAAAATTAATTAATTATGTTAGTGACTGAAATAAAATATGCGTAAAATTAGAAGTCAGAAATAAAAATAATGAAAACTAACATCAGTGATTAAAACGTAAACATTACAAGTTACCGGGACCAAAAACATAGTTTACCCGTGCGCGAAAATGCGCAGAAAGTCCCTAATCAAAACGACGTCGTTTCGACAACACTATAAATATCCCTCCCTTAAGCTAAAAATGGCCATTCTCACCCATTCGCAAAACTTTCACTCTCTCTCTAAAGTTAGAAGAGAGAACTCTTCTCTCCCTTCTCTTTAGCCTGGAGGGTGGCCGGCCGCCACCATCGTCGATGTCCGCCACTCACAGCCGCCGCAAAAAACCATTGTCACGCAGAACACTCCTCTCCATCCCAGGAACCTGGATCTAGCCACCAAATAACGAAATAGGCCCTAGATCAGAGTAGATCTACACAAATGTACTCGGGCTTTTACCTTAACCGATGAAAACTCCTCGCCTTCCTGACGCAACCACCGACGAAAGCCTTTGGCTTTTATGATATCCTTCAAAACTTTAGTGTTTTTTGATCTCTTGCTTGGCTTTGTCTTTGTTTTCGTATGGCTTTTGTTTCAACGGTTTTGTGTTGGCTTGTTTGATGATTCTGTCTCGTTCTCGTTGTAGGTATTTCGGCTTTAGGCTTGTGGTTCTGTGTAGACCGATTTTATGGTCAATGGTTCTCGGTTTGTGACTTGTGTTTTGGTACCGATTGTTGTCGTTTGGGTTATCTGTTGTTGGCTGATGATGGTTCTCGGTTTGATGTTTTTGATGGGGTCTGTTTTCGGCTGTTTTGGGGTCGATCCCGGTGATCTCGGATGGTCCAGTCTGAGTAGTTTCGGTTTTGGTGTTGCACATCGCCGAAATACTCGGTCGGCCGGTGACTTTCGATCCTCTGTAACCCTTGATCTCGATCGTTGGATTGGGTCAGATCCAACGATCCAGGGTCTGCTGCGGTGCTGGACTTAACGTGGAAACCCTAATCTTTTGACTTTGTTTATGGGTTGGGTCAGGCCCTGCTGTTGGACCCATGCATTGGATTCTTAGACCATGAACAAAAAACAAAACATAAATAAGAAATAAAATAACATAAAATAAAAAATAATATAATAATATAATAATAAAAATAAAAAATATTTTCAAAAACATATATAATATATAAATTTCCAAAATGTTTTTTTAAAAACTATATAATATATATATATTCAAAAATTATATAATATATATGTTTTCAAAATGTTTTAAAAACTATATTATATTTTCAAAATGTTTTAAAAACTATATAACATATATTTTCAAAAATATTTTAAAAACTATATATTATATTTTATTTTCAAAATGTTTTAAAAATTATATAATATATATTTTCAAAAATGTTTTAAAACCATATATTATATTTATTTTCAAAATGTTTTAAAACTATAATATATATATATATATATATAATGGGACGAAATTGAGTGTCTACAGTAAGCATGTAAATCATGTAACATTTAATAACATACATCCATTTCTATGTACTAATGTACACATAAAAATCACATAACATTTTAGAAGTTACTTCTTATCATAGTAACTCCGTCACTGGCTCATCGCAAGCCAATGTTTAATCAATAACATAAGTATAATTTAATTGCACTCACTTTAGTCTTGCTTTGATTCAATCCTAATTCTTTGATTATTCCAAAACTTGTTTAGGCTCAATATCTACATAAACATAATTTCCGAGACGATTATCAGAAGCCTAAACCTTATAACTTGATATTAATGACTTAGGCTAATTTAATAAATCAAACTTCAACTTTTCCTTTAGGAGTGTACCGATGCATTATGGGTGCATCGGTACCTAAAATAGCTTCGAAATTTTCATGCATCGATACCTACCGGTGTGTATCAATGCACCTTCAAATTGGTCTTAGTGCATCGGTACCCATTCATAATATACCGATGCACATGTCAATAATAAATTGGTTTCACCCGAAAATTCCACAACTTTTCATTAAATTTCCACATACAAAGCTCCTTTTCATACCATTAAACTCAACTACTATTACTTAAACTAACTTATATCCATATAAATCATCTTTATCTTCCATATCTCATCATGATTCTTAAAATTAAAATCTTACTAAACTTTCAACTTTGTTATAAATCCTTTCTAACTTCATAAATCTCTTATTCTTATGAAGGATAAGTCAAATTTCGTCTCAAAATTCTTTTATTAACTCTTTTTCAAAAATTCATTTAGAAACTCATTCTCTTTAATCCTTCATAACTTCTTTATCTTTTGATATTAAGATAACTTAAGTTTTCCTTAAGCTTAAGTATCACCTAAGGATCAAAACTCATACTTAAAATTAACAAATAATCAACTAACAAGGAAACTTATCTTTGTCTTTCTTGGTTCACGATGGAGAAGAAGAAAGCAGGAAGAAGAGAGGTTTTCCATCTTACTCTTCCAAATGACTATTTTAGCATTTAATTCCTTTAATAATTACTAACAATAATTCATAAACTATTTCTAGATAAGTCATTGAACTATTCAACTATTTCACTTTAATCACCAAATTATGAAATTTTACAATTTAATCACTAACCCGTAGTTTAGGATGTTACAAAGATATTGAAATGAGAAAATGATGATGAACAAAAAGGTGTCCTTCAAGTTGATTTTTCATAATTTCTTTGAACAAATCAAAACGAAAAACTCGGTATGTACAGGCAGAGACGAACATGAAACCGAAACAAAAACGATTCCACGTCCCCAAAAAAGTACCGGTCATGAGAAACTACTGGTTTCTGCAAAAAGAAATTATACATTTTTACCAAAAATGTGTCCTGATTTCAAAACTATTGCAGCTTGCTCCATATCGAACTTTCCATGATGCAACTATTTCAGTCGATAGATTTGAAAAGTCTAACCGATGTTGCTCGCTGTTCTTCTGTCAACAAAGGAAACCACTTTCTTAAAACATCTGCAAGAACAAACTGACCTGACATGACTGCAAGCTCAACATTCTCAAAGTCGATGGGTACAAGCCCAAGCAAAGCAGTAACGGTGGCGAGCTGGATGGGCAGACCGGCTCCAATAGTAGCCTCCCGCAACAGAAAAGCATGCAGATTTGCTCTCAAGTTTTCAACCTCTTTATCTTCATATCCAATAGTATCGACTCCGATTCTTAAAAACAGACATCAATTGAATGTGTAAGTTATATGGGAATTTTGCAAGTACTACGAATTTTCTCATCTTAAAAAGACATGCTCCACCTTGGCCCCTTCAAAAGGGAAAAGAACTACACAGCACAAAAGCACATGCTTTTATACTCTTTTTCAATGTTCCTTTCTTACCTCTGGCAATTGTCTCAAACTCTTAAAACTCCAATTATCTACCTAAAAGCTAAATTCGAGTGATTCTATTTTCCTACATCGAGTTTCAACCAACATACAAATAGGGCTGAAGGCAGGAAAAAATATATAAAATCAAAATTCAATGCAAGAATACCTTCCAAGTTGACCAAGAAGAACAATGATGGCAACAGTGAGGTTCTCATGAGCAGATGACTCCAACATACAGCACAGCTGGCCAATGATTTTCTTGCATATCCAGTTCCAGCTCTGTTTCCATCAAAACAAGAAAATTCAGGTTAAAAATCTCAGGACAAGCTCTTATCTAAAAAGTACTTTAAAATCTTCTAAGCATTGTTTATTATTTAAAAGTTCAAAAAAAAATTCAGCCAGGGGAATTCATAACCAAACATTTCCATTTTGCTAATTTTTGTTTCCGCATTTTATATAACAGAGAAAAAGGTTAAAAATAGTTTTACTGAAAGCTGCTTAAAGAGAGAGTCTACATAATAGAGTAAGCAAATACCATATTACATGCAAGCAGCTCAATCAATGATAAGACATCAATACTGTCGCACACAGTTCCAGTGACAACTGATCCCGACTGTTCACTAGACAAACTGCACTTATCTAAACAACAGTATACATCCATATCCTCAATGGACATGGAACTTGAATTTGCTGTCAGATTTTGATGCATGATTCCCGACTGGGCATAATTCTGAAACTTTGTAAAGAGTAATAAGACAACATTATCTGCAGAAAGGGAGTCCTTAGAAAATGGGCAGCCAACACGTTCATGGAACTGATGTATAACATCACCCACCAGCGAATGAGTCCTTACAGCCACTGGTGCACATTCACTTTCAAGGACCACAACGATCGATTTCAATACAGTCATTGTTGAACTATAATCTCTTAAGGTAAACATCTTATCGCCACCCACATAAGCAAACACATGAAGAACAACCAGGACCACCGAGGTATCATATCTGTGCATCCGGAAAATGTTATATGCGGCTTCACACAGAAAGCCAACACGGCCAGCAGCCGCACAAATAGAACCCAATATAATGCTACTGGCCGCCAACAGATCAGCTGAAGCAGCTTCATGTGTAAATACTAAATCTGAACCATCAATAAAGACATGTCTTCTTGAATCACATTCAACAGAAGTCTGTGAAGACAGATCATCATACAACAATATTCTCCCCTCTATAAGAAAATCTTGAATTAAACTAAGCAATTCATCCAAACATTCAGCCACTACACTTCTTGACTCGCCATCAGACATCACTGTGCAAAAAGAACAGTTAAATAAAGCCTAAGCCGAAACAACCAAATAAGAAATTATAAGAACCAATATTAGACACAATAAATCCAACAACAATCTGACACAGATAAAAGTTTCAAAGGTACCTTCATTTATGTGTTCAGCAAACAAATTTAAACAGAGTATGAAATCCCCAAGCATAGAGCAGTTCTTGGATGTAGCTGTACAGAAGTTGAGAAGAACCAATGAAAAAAATACACAAACCTTCTCCCTGCAACCAATAAAAAAGAGCCATGAGACTCGGCATCTTCTCATCAATTAATTTAACAGTTCTAGGAATCAAAGCAGGCATCAGAATAAACTAAGGAAAAAGTAAAGAACTCAGACAGTCTTCAACGGCAGACATTATATCTTACGACAATAAAAAACTTACTTCGGTAAAAGCTGCTTTTCCAGTTTAAGAGCATGTGAAATTCTATGCATGACAAACTCTGTCTGAGCAGGCAAGGAGCATTGAACCATACAAGTTTTAGTGGCACAACAAATTCTGGAGACACTGCTATCCTCCTTGATGTTAGAGAATATAACACAGAATTTCGGAATACTTGCATTGGTGGATCCAATGTCACTTCCAGTTCCAGATGGAAAGTTCACCACTCCATTCCCAGAACTAGGAGCAACTAAAGTCTCCACATCCACTCGAGAGTTATGGGAGTGGTTTAAAAAGGCTCTTTCTGCTGGCAAAGTAATGCAATAATTGTTCTCATTATACTTTAGAATGTCAAAGGAACCAAATGAGTCATTCTCATGTTGTACTTGAGGTGAAGTGTCCACCCTATCAAAATGCAACTGATTGGAACTGTTCACATTCATAACATCAAACTTGTCAGAAGATGCAAGATTTTCATTTTCATGAGGGAATCTTTCAGAAATCGCATCCTGTAATGGTCTAAATTCATCCACCTCAGCTGATTTGATACAGGGAGATTCCACTTCAGGAAGTGTAGGGGATACAGGCCTTTCAACTGCCATCCTAAAGCATTCCTCCTCTGCAGCATCATCCAAATCCAGTAATTTCATATAGTTTTTGCTGACTACCTCCTCAAAACCAACCATAGTTTTAGGGTCAATAGTATTAGGGTTGCACAAATGATCAGAGCAACCTGGCATCTGCTTCATCTGCAGACCATCACAAGATTTCCCCATAGCTAGTGTCTTTTCATCAGAAATCTTCCTCCTCTTATGAGATTTATCATGTGCAGAATATTCCAAAGCAGAAAGTTTGTCCCCAAGCTGTAGATGCCTCTTCTTCCTCTCACAGCATAAAGTTTCAATACATTCCACGGTATCAAGTATCATATTTCTTTTCCTAACACGTCCCTTAACTCTTCCAAGAGGAGGACTTTTAACACTATTTTCAGCAACCACGGCAGGATTTTCATTACACTTTTTTTTTGTAACTTCGCAAGACATACTTGTAATAGTTGGTTGTAAATTTAAGTTCTCTTCAGCCAGTGTTGCCGATGTGGTAACAGAAGGAACACCCCTTTCCTGTGAGCCCACCAACTGTCTATCAGAAAAAGATGCTGTACAGCAATTTATCGCAGAACTCTGTGACATTCTTTTATTAGATCCTCGAACTAGAGGATCCAAATTAGAATTAATACCTGTGATAGATTTACAACAGTTCCCTCCCTGTATAGGAAGCAAACACTGATCATGTCGAATTATTTCCCCAAGAGGATTGGAAGCAGTTGCATCCATGTACCTGGTCTTCAGAAGTTCATTTTCAGTTTGAAGACATGTTTGACATGATGTTAAGCCATGCAAATTGTTTTTCAACTTTGTCCATTGCATACTTGCAGTCTCTCCAGCCTGCAAAGTATATCAAACAATCCCATGTACAACCATGATCAGAATCACAGGCAGAAATTGAAGAAAATCAAAATACAGAATGCCATAATACTACATTAAAATTGCAAATTGGCCTAAACAAAAATGAAAAGTAAGATGAGACAAAATCATATTTAAATTCTTTTGTTAAAATTATAGAAAGGTACAGATTATGCAAAATCATAGGATATACGTGTGATGGAAAAAAAGGAAAAGGAAAACTTCTAAGGTTTTTCCCAAGCTGGAGAAGTTAATTGCTAAGAGCTTATTAGTATTCCAGTGAATCATAAATAAAATCAGTGATGTTAATATACATTACAACTTCCCACAAATTGAAGTAGAATAGAAAGTAGACAAACACTCTACCCACCAATTTAATAATACTAAAGAATCATCAGGTAACCTTCAGGCTGAGAAAAATCAATCAGATATATGCCAAAACCTGTATGCTATTTTTTTTTTTAAAGAATTATGACACTTCAGCTAAAATGCAAACCAGATATATGAATACTAGCTGAGAAACTAACCTTTTCCATGTCATATATACCTTCAGCTGGAACTGAGAAACAATTATCCAGTGCATCCAAACGGTACAAAAGTTTAATTAACTCGAACTTCATGCAACCTAATTCTTGTTGCAAAAGACTACTATGACTTCTTTCCAACCTAGCCACATCTTTTGCATGCTTTACTCTTTCCTTCTCAAACTTCAGTTGTTTTTTCAAAAGCTTTACTTCTGCTACTTCAGCACTAATTCCATTGTTAGATGAAACAACCAATGCACCATCCGTTTTTCTATTTGATGAAAGTTTATATATCTGCTTCTGCAATTCATTAATTTTCAGGTTAGCATCTTCTAACAGCTTTGATAAATGATTACCCCAGTGTTCTCCTTTCATAGTCTTCTTTGTATTCTCTTCCACAAACTTTCTTTTCTTTTCTGCTTTCCTCCTCTTGGAATCTGCTTGTTTTCTCTCACTAGTAGACTTCTCTTTCTCAATATCATCCAACTGCAGATACCCAGAAGCTACCCTGAACTTCTCAGCATCTTCCTTCAGCACCTTGAATTGTGCTGTCTTTTCTGTTTTTGCAGCGATTGCATTTCGATAAGGTTGGTCAAAATGACTGCCCCCCTTTTTCCTTGAGCCAGAAAGTTCATGTAACTGTTTGTGTAGTTCTTTATTCCTTCTTCTGGCCTCATCTAGCTGTTTGGTCAAACTGTTATTGTGCAACTTCTCTTCGACAGCTTTCTTCTTAGTTGCTTCCACAACCTTCCTTCCTTTGTCTATTTTGGCTTCTTCAACAACTTTCTTAGTTTCTTCTGCAATCCTCTTTTGCTCCTCTGCCTTAGCCATCGCAAGCTCAGCTTGTTGTCTTACTTCAACAGCCTTCGTCATGTTTTCTTCAGCAATCTTAGTTTGCTCCGCTGCTTCAGCCATCTCTAAATCAGCATGTTTTCTTTTTTCAACGGCCTTCTTCTTAGTTTCTGTAGCAACCTTCTTCTGCTTCTCTGCTTTAGCCATCTCTGAATCGGCACATTTCCTTTCGTCAACAGCCTTTTTCTTAGTTTCTTCAGCAATCTTCCTTTGCTCCTCTGCCTTAGCCATCTCAAACTCAGCTTGTTTTCTTACTTCAACAGCCTTCTTCATGTTTTCTTCAGCAATCTTCCTTTGTTCTGCTGCTTCAGCCATCTCTAAATCAGCACGTTTTCTTTCTTCGGCAGCCTTCTTCTTAGTTTCTTTAGCAACCTTCATCTGCTTCTCCGCTTTAGCCATCTCTGAATCAGCACATTTTCTATCGTCCACAGCCTTTTTCTTAGTTTCTTCTGCAATCTTCCTCAACTCCCTTGCTTTAGCCATTTCTAAATCAAACAAGTTTTCTTTCTTCATCTGCCTTCTTTTTCTCTTCTTCTAGCTTCTTAGTTTCCTCATCCAACTTTGACTTCTCTGAAGCCAACTTGGATTTTGCTTCACTAACCTCTTTCATTGGTGCCTCCAATTGCTTTAGCCCATGTTCTTCACCAGGCTTACCTTTCTCAGTTGTAGCATGTACTGATGCATCAGTAGCTTTTTTCTTCTCCATATCAGCCCTCTTCTTCTCTTTCTCAACAAGCTCCTTGAGCCAGCTTATTTCCTTATCCCTTTCAGAAAGACAAGCTTTAAGAATCTTTATTTCTTCAATTTTATTGTCACTGTCTGAAAGTCCTTTTTGCTTTAAGTTGGATATCTCAGACTTCAGGACAGATAATTCATTCTCTAATGAAACTCTTAAAGTCGATTCTTTTTCTCTGCCCTCTTTTTCTACCTTAGTTCGTTCCAGCTCTTCTTCATATGCTGAAAGTGTAAAGCTACGAATTAGAACAAATATTGCTGGACAATTCAAATTGAAAATCTAATCTCTCGTTCTAAAAACCAACATAAAGGACTACCCTAAATGTATGACAGGACATCCTTCGGCCAACATATGTTTCAGCTAAATCCTTCAGCTTTCATATGGTAAAATGCTATCACTTATCCCATATAAAGTTAAAATCCTAAAAAACACAAAGAAATTAACAAAAGGGAAGTTACATGTAGTCGCATTATTTATACCTTGCTTGAGAGCCAAATTCTGGGCTTGAATATTATCACATCCTTTTTCCAGTATACGAACTGCTTGCTTTAGACAAACTCGCCCCCTTTCTGCTTTTGAATATTTATTTTTCCACTGAAAAATGAAAAGAATAATTTAAGGGGGGAATATGGAACATTGTAAATGTGCTTCTCTAATTTGAAATCATACCACTTGACAGCAGGCTGAGACTCGGACATCCTCCACTGGCGCGTCCGCAACACTTGACTCGGGGATGCAAGGAACATCCTCCGCCATTGCTGCCAAAGCATCCAGAAACTTCAGATTAGCAAAATAGTTGAAACTATTCAGACTTCCACATAAGAAAAAAAACCATTTATACCTTCTGGATTGATCTTTTTTTTTCTTGTTGGAGTAAATTCTCATGAAAAAAACATCGAAAGAGAGAAATTATCTACAGAAAGAGAAAAGAGCAATACGTGCTTGTTTTAAAATTTTAAAAATCAGGGAATGGTGCCTTTAAGCCGAATTGAAAAGAAAAACCCTAAACTCGATTATGGAGGGAAAGAGTTGCACATGCAGTTGGCAGTGGCGGCCTACCGGTAGAGAATTTCGAGAACGAAACTGAATTTATATTTACTAATATCATTTTTATGGATCCAGCCCAATAACGTTTGGTTAAAGTACGGTAGATTCTATTAGACTATGCTCATATGATTTGATACTTAAAAATTCTCAAACTATATATCAAATCGAAGCAATCATAAGTACCATTATTATCATCGTCACTATTAATCTAAGCATCCACATAAACAACAATTGCCATGTTTAGTAATAGGGTAGGACTCATGGGAGAAACCCTACATTAAGATATGACAATGACATAAAATTAGTAAGTCGTTTTTTGTATAACATCGGTAGTCAATTCATTAGTTGATTAATCCATATATAGTATTGCAAAATTTTATTATAAAATAATTATTCTAATTTAAATTGCTCTATTTACAACATCAAAATTCGAATTCCTGATATTACTAAAAGGACCTAGCACCTCATCGTGCTAGACCAATTAACAGTTGTATTACATCCGATCATAGAAATATTAAAATATATATATTAAGGTTGATAAATAATGTGTTTCGAGTCTAAATTGGTAGCAAAGAACTTAAATCTAAACCGGTACACTCACCAATTCAATGCTCACTACCTTGATGAGAAGCTCTTGTCCAACGAAATGCCAATTTTGTTGTCTTCAACCATAACAAAGTCTATGAAGCAACACATAACACCTCACATGATTGATGGTCATGCCTACCCTTAATCTTTTTCAAATATGTCATCAATCACCATGGAAGTTACCACTGTTACAGTTCATACCTAAACAGCTACACTCCACATAGGATTTATGCCCTTCTTCAAATGACAAAACAAAACCACATGATTTCTTCACCTAATTTTCTCATGGAGCATATTCTTTTACCATCAAAATCTCCCCACATAACTTCTGTGGCCTTTGGTCTAATTTTTTGCCTTCCTGCCATGCCTGCCCTACCAAAACGTTCAGGTCCTATATGCTGAATGTATATCACAGCCTCATCATTGAACGGATACGGGTGTTTCACTGCAAAACAATAATCATATTACTAATTTTTTTTGTTAAAACATAGTAACACAAAGTAGGACAAATTCAACACTCAAATCGACCTCATAATTAGCAATAATTAATAATCTTCACCTGGTTTGGGAAAGTGACTTGGATATTAATCGAATATCCAAGAGACCATCCCCGAATTCGTAGGCCAAATCACAGGGCTGTTCAGTTGACAGTACTTCTTTTGTTTGAGTCACCTCAAAATAAAACGGGCATAACTGATTTGCAAAATGACCCACAATTGATCCACCTAAGAAACAATATAGTTTTTATTAAATCAAAAATTTCTCCACAGGCTTAACTCGACCACACATGAACAAACATACAAGTATACAAAGAAGAGAGAGGGGAGAGAGGGAGGGGGGGAGAGAGAGAGAGAGAGGTTTTATAGTACATGAATTATTACTTGAAATGCCTAAATCCAAATTTAGAGATGCATTACCAGAAATTTTGTACATCAATAGTAGGCAATTGTAGATTAAACGAACCAATAAGCACATTTATTTAAGGATTAAAAAGCGCATGGAGCACATTTGAGTATACAAGAGCAGCAAAACTAAAATTTCTCCATGTGATAGCATCATAGATCAAGAAATCTATTTCATTACTTCTCCTTTATTTATTTAAAAAAGATATTTCTAACCATTTAGAGATAACCATACTTCCCCATATATAAACCTTCACTAGCTAGTAATATCTTTAACACCCCAATTTAGGGGCTAAAATTAAGAAATTATAAAGTGGTGGATTTAATTTGGTATTTTGAAAGAAACAGTGGGTTAAATTGCAAAATTTTAAAGTTGGTAGATCTTTTTTTGAAATGCATGAAGTTCAGTGGCTAAACTCTTGGTTTAACCATTTTTAATTATGAGATGATATAAACCCTAATTTCTTGTATGTTTCTGGAATTTTTTTTCAGTTTTCCCTCTCCCGTCAACCCCTCTTTCAACTCTGATCTACTCGTCGTCCGACCTCCGATCGATGATCCGAAACCACCATCGAGTTCGTTGTCGAGCGAGGAACAAAACCCCTCAAAGCTTTTGTCGTGAATCGTCGCCGTTCGTCGTTAATTTCAGTCGGAAGTATCATCGGTAATAACTCAATTTCAATTGGTTTTTCGTCGATTCGTGTTCCTTGCATCGTTCCGAGTCTGCCGGTGTCATCCTTGGTCTCTGTCGATGGCGGCGCGTGAGGAGGTGAAGCGATCAAAGTTTTCGATTTGTTGAAATCGAGCTCTCCGCTGTTCAAAATTGTGAACCGGGCTTTGTAAGTATCTTGAAATTGTTAAAAATAATTTTTAGGAATTTTTCCGGGAATTTAGCATTGTTCACGCGCCGCCACTGCGCGTGGGAAAGGAAAAAGTGACCGGTTTTGGAACTGTTTTGACCGGTCATAACCCGACCCGACCCGTTGACCCGACCCAATCCGTTGGCCACTCGTTGACCATTGACATTGACCGGCGTTGACCATTGTTGACCAAAACTTGACAGGCTTTGACCGGGCATTAAATGACCTTTAACTTTGACCGAGAATATCTATCCTAACATTTTTCGACGTTCCAAATCTGATTCCGCAGTCCGTTTTTCGAAATTCGAACCCAAAGGCCTCGAAATTGCTGGTCAAACCGTTGACTTTAATTTTGACCAAAATTCCAAATTTCTGAAAAGTCATATTTTATGCATTCGACGTCTTGAATCCGAATCCGAAGTCCGTTTTGCCAAATTCGAACCCGGTAAGCTATTTTTCACTGATTTATCGCAATTAAGCTCCGTTTCTGATATAATTTATGTTGATATGTATCTGAGGAATTATTGGAAGTTGAATTGAAGATCAAAGGCGTTCGAATGAAATTTTTATGGTCAATCAGTATTATACGAAAATCGAGGTAATACTTTACTACCTCTTTATGCTTTATAGAACATGTTGGTATTGGTAAATGCATGAATGGAAATGTTTGGTCTCATATGTATAATTAATGAAGATCTACACTAGATACAATACGGTAGAAAGTAGGTAACTGAATATGGCTCAGATGACTATTATAAGAAATTGAAAGACAATTGGAATTAAATTACAAGTTCTGGAATTAGTGATAAAAGAATCAGCCAAGATATGTAGATTATAATTTATCTCGTTAAAGGTACTTAGATGATAAATTATGAGAATATTTCGATTAGGTAAAATTATAAATTACCCTTATGTTGGAAAATGACAAGAATTGTCCCTGGAAGTGGATTAATAAATCTGAAAAGAATTAATGATCTGCTAAAACTATTGATGTGCATAAGAAATGTTAGTTTTACTTGGAAATTATGGATAACCGGTTTTTAACCCCAAGAAGGTTTATGCTAGATACTAGAAGTCTTTTAAGGAATCATTTCAAGATCAAAGAATGCTCGAGGAAGCAATTAATCATTGGATCTCTATATTATATTATTTTCGTTAAGAGCTAATGTCGAAATTATCTGGTTAAGAAATTACGAAAATGTCCTTGAGAGGTAAAATAGTCAGAGTTGACCCTAAAGGAGAAAGTACTTTGAGGATTTGTACTTCACTCGATTAAGTACGAATTTAATTATTAAGATCCTGTCTTTGTAAAGAAAAATTCAAGATTTTTCGTTTGTAAAATCCGAGAAGGCACTTGACCCGAAAATATCTGAGTTATGAGTAAATACCTAAAGAACAATTTATCGGAGGGTGCTCTTTTATCAGAATTGTTCGAAAAGACTGAAATAGATAATAAATTAGAATTAAATAATAAAACCGGATGGAGGGAAAAGATTGAAATACCGTAAATCTATAAAATGACCAAAATACCCCTGTCATAGAAATGACCCAAGAATATCACCAAGCTCATGAATGATTGGATATCCTCGAGCTCTGAAATGAATGGAATAAAACTGAGCATCAAAATGACCAAAATACCCTTATGGCCTATATTAAGTAAATATCTTGGATTAATTAAAGAATCCAAATAAGAATAGGTGTTGGATTACCTTTAGAAGTTATGGAACAGAGCTTAAGTGAGTTCATCAATCTTAATGATATGTCAATACCTGAACGCATAGATGTTACTTGAATGTTTGTTCGCCTTCTCAAGTTTGGTTCGATGATAATTTTGGAAGTACTCAGCCCAGCCCAACTCTATATCACCTTCGATACTAAGAAATATATATTCATTAGACAAATAAACCTCGAAGACCAAATTGAATTGAACGAAAGTACAGTATGTATACGAATTTCAGAAACGTCTGGATTATCCTAGAAAAACCCCAAAGTATCCAAAATTGACTTGAATGCTAAATGAACTAAGTAACCTCAAAGACTAAGGATTAAGTAAGAGATTGGAATAAGTTTGGAAACTCGGATGAACTTATATGATGTATTATCCCTATGGATTATGAACCACAAATCAAGTACATCAGCATTTCCTGGTATAGTTGAAACATGTAAATGAAATAAAGACCATTAAAATATTTGTTTCTCCTTAAGATTTATTCAGTGATGACTCAGAAGATGATCTGTGGATAAGAATATTTGGTATTAAAGAGTAAATACCCTGGAAGGTTAATGAATTGACAAGTTGGTAAGTATTGGTTCTGGGGCTATTCATCTAGAGTTGTTCGATAATCGGATTAATCGTCATAGATTGTAAAGATTCCGAATAACTTCAAATTTCATAGAGATTCAGAAAAGTTTTTGAAGAAGATAATCCCGATAAATCATATCCTGAATAACTGATGGTTATGTCAGTTAATGAACTTTTTAAATAGTTTTTCTAACTTCCGACATTCTATCGGTAAACTGAAGATTTGTGTCTCTCTACCCGATAAGATTATCCAATATCTCTGAATAATATCTGTAAACTCTGGTGTGTTCCCTAATCATATAAATATTTTATCTGATTTCCGACTTGAATTCTGTTTTGATATATGACCTGAATTTTGTTCTGATTTCTGATCTGGATTATGTTCTGATATCTGTTCTGAAGTCTGTTTTGATTTCTGATATCTCCGTTTAATGACGGAAAAATGTTTTAATTGGGGGGTATTGTTGAATGAAGTATTTCTGCAGGTTCCCCGGCTTTGTGTTCAGGGCCTTATATGATGTGTTGGGTTGGGTGTATGGTTCTGGGGAACCTACACATTCTGATGTGATGGGATGGGGTATATATATATATATATATATATATATATATATATATGTTTTAAAAAGATCTGTATCTTTTTACTGGTTTTACGGGAACACACTAGATAACCTATTCTGATCTCCTGAACTCAGTCATCCAAAATATTTGTCTGAACTGAAAGCTCATTGTCCGTTACCATCTGAAATATCAGTAGGATCTCTGCTCAGCATAAAAATCTGTAAATGCTCGAAAATAATAAGGATATGCATGTTTATCTGTATCTCCACGTTCTTCAGCATCATCTGGTAGTTCTGTATTACTGAGCTTTTCGAAGCTCACTCTATTACTCACCTTTTCAGGTTAAAAGAATTGTACCAGTGCATCTATCGACTTCAGTAAGGGAGTTCTTTCGGCGTTGTTGTAGAGTATGGTACATGTGATTAGGGGGCATGTAATTGTATTTTGATTTATATACGAGTCTGGAAATCTATTTTATTTTTAAATAGCGACAACTGATTTTATTAGTTTACATGTACTAATAAAAAAGTTTTAAATTTTCTGCTATTTTTACAGTGGGTCGCTCCGGTGACCCAAATGTGACACCCCGGATCGGATCTGGTTACCCACATCGGTCTGAGGGGTAACATATCCCGTCTTTATCATTAGTCCGAGTTCACTCAGTTGCTTAGCCTTTGCAATTTCCTGTGAAACACGGTAGAAAGCAAACAACAATTTTACTAAGGCTCGACTTGAACTTCCCATATCTCACATTATGTCTAATTCTATTTCTAAATAAATGGTCAAGTATTCACCAAAATTAGCTCAAACATAGCATTCAACATCAAAGCAGGAATCAAGAATCTAAGTCAGTCTTCTTCACCTTTCATAAAATAAATCATAACAAAAACCTTTGTAGTTGAGGGTGAAATTACTAATATGAAATAGCTAATATACTAGATTTAACCTTTCTAATCAACCCAAAGTGGAGGATATATGCTAGCAAAGAGGAAAGACCATCTTAACAATTCAGAGTAAATCTTCACATACTTACCAATAAAACGTCCATATTTCTTCCCATTATTGCCAGAAAATATAGTCTAAAAGAGAATAAATTAACTCTCAGATAGTTAATTGCAGAGGGAGAGTGTTAAAATTTGATGAAAAAAGAATGACAAATATGGAATTTAATAGCTTCATCATATTAATCTAGAACTAACCTTCTTGAAGTATTTCACCCAAGCAATAAGAAATGGACCTAGATGAGAGAAACATATTATTAAATCTTTCAGAAGTAAAGTTCACAAGAAACATCATCATCTTGCATAAAACAAAAACAACATATATGCAAAATTAGAGGCAACACATAACATGTAGACTCTAAATATTGAAAATTACAAAGCATCAATTTCATAAAATACAATACAACATGTGTGTATGGGTAAATACACATCTATGCATATACAATGGCCCAATGCACAGGTAAACTCAACATATATAATATTTAAAAATTCCTTTGTCTCTTAGGAATTTGTATCTGTTTTCGAAACTAAAAGTATTTAAGTCATACAAAATACCAAGGTGTAGGCAATAACTCAAATGAATTACCTCATCTGGTTCTGCAGTTAAAGACTTAAAAGGGAATTGTGGTGTCTTTATCAGATAGAATGTTGGAAGCAGTTTCGTTCACTAATTTAGGATCATGATATCGTGTGCCAGCTATCTCCCAAGCTATCTAAATAAGCTTGCATTGCATTCTAATATGTAAAAGTGATTCTGGGAAGCACTTGAATTAAACTATTTGTACAGTTCTCTACTTGTTTCTATTATTCCATGTCTCGTGTAGTAATATATTAGATGCAGACTTAGAAATGTGAAGTTGGAAGGGGGAAAATAAGAAAAGCAACAAACTTATCCAAAAAAAAAAAAGCAACCTGGGATTGAGTAATTGAAGAAATCAATGGCGTCTTTCCTCCAAAATGTCTCCAATTTTTTTCCTAAAAAAGAAGAGAATATGAGCTCTTATTTTACTTTACTTTAAGTACTTGTACCTCACAATCTTACTGAACACAGGAATTTGGATATATGAACTACAAAGATTCTCCAAATATATGAAAAACCTTAGAAAATCCGACTATAATGATGTAACTCGCTGTATCTTACGCTCGTATGTCTAAACAAATAAAGAAAAGATAAGAAAATGTAAAATGAAAGACCAGAGATAAGCAGCCGGATTATAAGAATTGGGGTCCAAAGGAATCAAATCCTTGAGAGGATCAAGAAATGTGACGACATCCATTTCATCCAAGTGAGGATCAAACAACGCCGTCTCCGAAGCTCCATTCACCCGTTCTCCAACTCCAGCTCTAGCTCTAGTAGCAACAACGATCCCCCTTCCACCGTGCAATCTTAGACCTGAAAAAAACTCAGGAACAACAAATTGTATCACACTAAAAAAATACCAATGTGTATGATTTTAGTAATGTCAATAGAACTGAAACAGACCTTGAAATGATGAAAGACGAAGAGCAAGCGGAGACGGAGAGGGTGAGGTTGGGTTTATCGAAACCAGGCCTCCGCCCCTATACTTCGAGCAAGTAGGCGTCGGAAAAGCTAAAGGAATCCAGCATCCACCGATAGTCGTCATCTCAATTCCAACACCGTCCACTCTCGCAGTTTTGCAACTAAGTCTGCTTTTATTATTGGGTAAACTACATGGTCACTAAAGTTCGAGTAAATTTATCTTTTACTCTTGAAGTTTTAAACGTTACAAAAAAGTCACTAATGTTATTGTTTTTAACAAAAGGGTCACCCGACCGTTAACCCCAATAGTCGTGTGATAAAAGTCTGACATGACAATTAGGGAGGATCAATTCAGTGTTAAAAGTGTTCTATCAAAAACAAAAATATAGACTTAGTTACTCTGATTATTTCTCGTTCTCTGGAAAGACAAACTGCAGGTCCTCATTGTCTCTGTATACTTGAACAAGAGCAGGAGCAGCTGCTTTGTATGAAAACACCCTAAGCTTTGCATGCACAAGCTGCGAAGAAAAAACTCCAAAACCTATAAATGACAATACGCTATCATTTGCTTGTGTCACCCATTGCTTTTGTGGAATGAGGAGAAACCATTTTATTATTATTTTTGACAAGCTTGTTAATCATCTTAGTACCGAATGCTTGTTAAGCATTTCTGACGGAAAAGAGTAGTGAAGTTGGGCCTACGGCTACGTCAATGTCTGCTAGTAGTCGTTGATGTTGAAATTCTAGAAGGCCGGTTGATTTTCAAATTAAGGGGCTGGTTGATTTTCAAACTAAAGGGTTGGTTGATTTTCAAATTAAGGGGCTGTTTTGAATTCAAAATGGGTGGTTGTTTTAGTTGAAATTGGCAATGAATAATTACAAAATTAAGTCATTGAACTTTAGGGTATTTACAAGATTAGTCTTTAAGCTTCAAAATCATCCCAAAATCCCAAAACCATTTCTTTCTCCCAATACTAGAGAGATTTCTTATGAGTAGTGAGTGTTTTGTAAACACCTGTAAATTTTCTCTCTTAGTAAAAGATCTGCAGCAGTCTGGAGACGTAAGCAAAATTGACTGAACTCTGTTATCAATTTTGGGTATTATTTTTCCACTTTTATTTCGTATTTTCACTAATCTGGTTATAGGGAAATTACTAGTACTCGTTTTATTTCCTAACAACTGGTATCAGAGCTTTTGGTTGTGAATTTTGTCAATTTTTTTGCGATGTTACTATTTATTACTATTTATTATTGTTCACGTGAATAGTGAATTTTATGAATAGTAAAAAAATTATCGGCGATACGAATTTGTCGACGGAGGTGTTCTAATATACGGTGGTTCGCAAGAATTGTCAGAAACGATCCAAACGAAGCCAGATTCGAGTGGGGGCAATAGTTGCATATGAAGGGAAGGTGAAAATTGAAAAGTTCGATGGTGTGGACTTTGGCTTTTGGAATATGCAGATTGAAGATTTTCTGTACTAGAAAAATCTATATCAACATCTCTCGGGAAAGCAACCAGAGGGCATGAAGAATGAAGACTGAGATCTTCTCGACAGACAAGCCCTCAGAGTCATCCGACTGACGTTGTCCCGAAATGTTGCTTTCAACATAGCAAAGAAAAAGACCACGACGGGTCTTATGGCGGCTCTCTCCAGTATGTATGAGAAGCCATCGGCCTCAAACAAAGTTCATTTGATGAGGCGATTATTCAATTTGCGGATGGCGAAAGGGGCATCGGTGGCACAACACCTAAATGAACTCAATACAATCACAACCCATTTGAGTTCCGTAGAAATTGAATTTGATGATGAAGTTCGAGCTTTAATTCTCTTATCATCTCTACCAGACAGTTGGAATGCTACTGTTATAGCAGTCAGTAGCTCGTCAGGAAATAGTAAATTGAAATTCAACGATGTTCGGGATCTGGTATTGAGTGAAGAAATTCGACGGAGAGAATCGGGTGAAGCATCAAGCTCCTCAGCTTTGCACACAGAGTCCAGAGGGAGAACTTCATAAAGAAATTCAAATCGTGGCAGATCCAAATCCAGAACGGGAAAATCAAGAACGAGAAAGAAATATTTTACCTGTTATAATTGTGGCAAGAAGGGTCACTTTAAAAGAGATTGTCGAGCACTGAAGAAAAACATCGGCGCACAGGAATCTGCCGATATGACAGAAGAGGCAGGTGATGCCATGATTCTAAACGTCAACAGTTCGATTAAATCATGGATCTTGGATTCAGGGGTATCTTTCCACTCTACCCCATGCCAAGAAATCATGGAGAACTATGTCAGTGGTGATTTTGGGAAGGTTCATCTAGCTGATAATGAAACCTTGAAGATCATCGGAAAAGGAGGCATCCGACTAAAGTTGCCAAACCAGACCACCTAGAAGTTGAAAAGTGTGAGACATATTCCATGCCTAAAAAATTTTTTGATTTCTGTTGGGCAACTTGATGGAGAATGATACATTACAACCTTTTCAGGCTGTGAATAGAAGATTACCAAAAGAGCAATCGTCATTGCTCGTGGTAAGAAGACTGGTACTCTCTATGTAACCACAAACTTAGAGAATATCATTGTTGCAGTAGATGTTGATAGAAAATCAAACCTATGGCACCAAAGGCTTGGTCATATGTTGATAGATTGGCAAACCTATGACACTTTTTTCAAAAGGGAAGCTGTCTGATCTAAAGAATGTTGATGTCAGACTATGCGAGGATTGCATCTTTGGAAAACAAAAGAAAGTCAGCTTTGCAAAGATTGGTAAGATACTCAAGGCTGAAAAGTTAGAGTTGGTTCATACTGATGTATGGGGGCCATTTCCAGTTCCATCTTTTGCAGGCTCGTTATATTATGTCACCTTTATCGATGATTCTATGAGGAAGATGTGAGTTTATTTTCTGAAGAAGAAATTAGAAGTCTTTGATACCTTCAGAAAATGGAAAGCAATGGTGGAAAATGAGATTGGTCTGAAAGTCAAGCGGTTGAGGTCTGACAATGGAAGAGAGTACAGAAATATGAGATTCAGAGATTTCTGCGCAAACAATAGGATCAAGATAGAGATAACAGTTCCCATGACACTGCAGCAGAATGGCGTAGCAGAACGCATGAATAGAACTCTGAATGAATGTGCCAGAAGAATGATGATACATGTCGGATTACCCAAATTTTTATGGGCTGAAGCTATCAACACTGCAACTTACTTGATCAACCGTAGGCCCTCAGTTCCTTTGGATGACAGAATACCAGAGGAAGTTTGGAGCAAGAAAGAAATAAACATTTCACACTTAAGAGTGTTTGGTTGTATTTCTTATGTACACATAGATTCTGTTGAAAGAAGTAAACTTGATGCCAAGTCCAACAAATGCGTCTTTGTTGGTTATGGTGGTGATGAGTTCGGTTACCGATTTTGGGACTACGAAAATCAAAAGATCATCAGAAGCAGAGATGTCATTTTCAATGAGAATGTGATGTACAAAGACAGGTCAACTGTAGAATCAAGTAGCTCCAATACCGAAGCTGAAACAAAAGAATTTACTGAGTTCGAGGAGATTTCTGGAAATGATGTTCATATCAGTCCTGAAGGAGTTCAAGAAGAACCAGGCACACCAGAACTGAGACGCTCCTCCAGAATTCCTAAACCAACCCAACGATATTTTCCTTCATTGCACTACTTGTTGCTGACTGACAATGGTGAACCAAAGTGATATGATGAAGCAACGCAAGTGGATGATTCAGTTAAGTGGGAGTCTTCCATGAAAAATGAGATGGACTCTCTTATTTCAAATCAGACGTGGGAATTAGCTGAATTACCATCAGGCAAGAAAGCACTCCACAACAAGTGGATTTACAGGATCAAAGAAGAGCACGATGGGAGCAAATGCTACAAAGCCAGATTGGTTGTCAAAGGTTTTTAGCAAAAAGAAGGTATTGACTACAATGAAATTTTCTCTCAAGTTGTAAAATTGTCTACAATCATACTGGTGTTGAAAATTGTAGATACAGAAAATTTACATCTTGAGCAGTTAGATGTGAAGACAACTTTCCTTCATGGTGATTTGGAGGAAGAAATCTATATGAGGCAACCAGAAAGCTTCATAGAAGAAGGCAAGAAAAACCTGGTATACAGGTTGAAGAAGAGCTTGTATGGTTTAAAACAAGCTCCTAGAGAGTGGTACAAGAAGTTCAATAGCTTCATGACTAGTAGTGGTTTTACCAGATGCCAAGCAGATCATTTTTGCTACATCAAGAGGTTCGACAACAGCTTCATTATTTTATTGTTGTATGTTGATGACATGCTCGTTGCAGGCTCAGACATGCAAGAGATTATAAACTTGAAGAAAAAATTGTCGAATCAATTTGCTATGAAAGATATGGGCGACACAAAGCAGATTCTTGGGATGAGGATCAAGAAAGACACAAAGTCGAGGACTTTGATGTTATCACAGGCTGAGTACATCAACAAAGTACTCTCCAAGTTCAACATGTAATATACTAAACCAGTAAGTACACCTTTAGTTGTTCATTTTAGACTCTCCAAAGAATAATCACCAAAGACGGAGGAAGAACGTGCACACATGGTGAAGGTGTCGTATGTCTCAGCAATTGGAAGTCTAATGTATGCTATGGTTTGTACCAGACCAGCTATTGCTTATGCAGTGAGAGTTGTTAGCAGGTACATGAATAATCCAGGAAATGTACACTGGGAAGCTGTCAAATGGATCCTCAGATATTTGCGAGGTACCACAAACAAAGCACTTTGTTTCAAAGGTGGAGATACGATACTGACTGGCTATGTAGATGTTGACTTAGCCAGAAATATTGATATCAGAAGGAGCACTACAGTGTATGTCTATACTCTAGGAAGAACTGCAATGAGTTGGGTTTCTCAACTACAGAAGATAGTTTCTCTCTCCACAACTGAAGTAGAATATGTCGCTGTTACGAAAGCCAACAAGGAGATGGTTTGGCTCCAAAGTTTCTTGGAAGAGTTAGGCAAGAAAAAAGAAAACAACGTCTTGTATTGCAACAGTCAAAGTGCTATCCATATAGCGAAAAATCCGTCTTTTCATTCCAGGACGAAGCACATACAATTGCGATATCATTTTATACGGTCTCTTCTGGAAGATGGGATTTTAAAACTTGAAAAGATTAGTGGAGCTCAAAATCCGGCAGACATGTTAACAAAGACGGTGATTACGGACAAACTGAAGTTGTGCTCAGCTTCAGTTGGCATGCTAGAGTAACAAGACCAGAAATACTGCTACATTGATCAAGGTGTGAAGACTAATTAAAACCAGTCTTCAAGTGGGAGATTGTTGAAATTCTAGAGGGCCGGTTGATTTTCAAATTAAGGGGCCGGTTGATTTTCAAACTAAGGGGTTGGTTGATTTTCAAATTAAGGGGCTGCTTTGAATTCAAAATGGGGTGGTTATTTTAGTTGAAATTGGCAAGGGATAATTAAAAAATTAAGTCATTGAACTTTAGGGTATTTACAAGATTAGTCCTTAAGCTTCAACTATAAATACCCTAGCTCATTTAGCTTCAAAATCATCCCAAAATCCCAAAACCATTTCTTTCTCCCAATACTAGAGAGCTTTCTTGTGAGTAGTGAGTGTTTTGTAAACACCTGTAAATTTTCTCTCTTAGTAAAAGATCTGTAGTAGTCTAGAGACGTAAGCAAAATTGGTTGAACTATGTTATCAATTTCGGGTATTATTTTTTCGTTTTTATTTCGCATTTTCACTAATCTGGTTATAGGGAAATTACTAGTACTCGTTATATTTCCCAACAACTGAATTTGAAGCATAGTAATTGGTGTCTGCTCGGATCGGAGGATATTTCAAAAGTATAAAACAATTTATCTTCCAAACGAGCTACTGATCATGCGTACGTGCCCTCTTCATGAATGTTACAGCTGTGCAGGAAAGATATGGCAACGCAGCCAGGAAACATTAGCTTCAAAGTCCTCAGCCTTTTAGAGTTTAGTATCAATGGTATTTACAAGCTTTTCATCACACTTGGTGTTACCAATCGTGAATCTTCCCTCTCCTTTACGATTAGACAATACAATACAGTACAAAAAAATCGACATATATACTACTGAATAATCTAAGAGTTTGCAACTGTTCCCAATTGATAAAACCTCAAAAGACATGTGAAGATAGACTTAAAGAGAACTCATACAAATACCTCTGATCTTGCAGGCACAAGAAATCAACGACTGGAAGAAACTAAAATACAGAGAGCTAGAACAGAAGATCAAATCATCTACCTGAATTTATATGTTGATGAGGATTCATAACATGGGTACATGTTTAATATAGGCCTCAATTACTCTTCATACATCACCATTCACCAGTTATGATAGAGAGTATCAAAGAGAACTCATACAGAATGCTTGTTAAGCATTACTGACTGCAAAGGTCAGCGAAGTTGGGCCTGTCGGCTTGTAGTCTCTGAATTTGAAGCACGGTAGTTGGTGCCTAAGATGATTAACAAGCCCTCACATACATTTCATTTGCCGAGTGTACATTTTAACCATGATAAGCATTTGGTACTATGATGATTAACAAGTGTCACAAAAACAATAATAAAATGGTCTCTCCTCATTCTACAAAAGCAATGGTGACACAAGCCATGATAGCATATCATCATTTATAGCTTTTGGCGTTTGTTCTTCGCAGCTTGTGCATGCAATGCTTGGGGGGTTTAAATTGTTGGTAATGCTCAATCCCACATAGTATTAGAAATACTATTGGGAATGGGTATTTGAGGTTTGGATTCTCCACTTCCTTGTTGAGTGAAAGAGAACAAGGGGAACTCTCGTGCACTGCCATCGTCGTCAATTCGTCTCGGCACGGCTTGTAGTCGTTGTAATATTTGTCTTCGACACATTTGTACGGATACTATCTTTTTAGAGAAAATTCTTGTGAAATTTCTCTTTGAAATAAACAAATGGAAAAAAAGTAAAAGATTTCACCTGATATTTATAGACAAACTGTTAATATCACGAGTTACATGATTTAGTTTCAGTTACGATGAAGGGTTTTAATCATGATTTTTATGGACGATTTTAACCCTATTTCTAGCCTATAAATAGAGAGCTGGATTCAGCTTCTCAACTCACTATCTACATTTAGAATTCACTCTCCAAGTGTTTTCTAAAGTTTTTTTTCGTGTGCTTTCTGATCACAAGTGCAATTCCACCAGCAGCCCACTCCGGTTTCGGGTGTACGAAATTTGGAGCGTCGTGTTAACCTTGGGGGGCGGTCCGCCTACTGCAACGATTACACACATCGAGATAAATTTTATTTCTAAGATAGTGGTTTTACTACGACACGGTTTACGAATTTATTTCTTTTAAATTACTATTTATCTTTTATGTTAGTGCTAACGGTGTGATTTTGCAGTACATATTTCCAACATGCATACAAAGGAGCTGCTCTTACTCTTGTTCAAGCATACATAGACAATGAAAACCTGTTGTTTCTCTTTCTGAAAAACGAAGAACTGCCAAAGGAACTGATTCTATATATATATATATATTTGTAGAACACCTCCGACATTGAATTCATCTTCTCTAGCTGAGTTGGGAAGAAGAAATTTTTTGTGTGTGTAGAATTTGTGTTTTTCTAAAGGGTTCAAAGGGTGTCAAATTAGCTCCCTAATTAGCACATCATACTTCCGTCGCATAACTATGAGTGTTAGCCAACGAGTCACCATTTTGTTAGAAAATAATAATATTAATGATTTTTTGTAACTTTTGAAACTTAAGTGGTGAAAATAGAAACTTACTCTAATTTTAGTGACTGTTTGTATAGGTTACCCTTTGTTATTTGGGTTAATGACGTAGACATCCCCAAATATAACTAAGATTTTATATTAAACTCTAAACTTTAAAATATTTTAATTAAAATACTCAAAGTATTTGTTAAAAATGATTTTAAATGATTTGAAAACAAGATTTAACAAAATAAAAATCAGTACAAATATTATTTAATAATTAAATAAATATTTTATATAAATTTATAAATATTTTTATTAAATATTTTGTAAACAATACTCAAATAATTTATAAATAATAATATATTTAATTTTAAAAAAATAAATTTAAATAATTAAATAATTAGAAAATGACAGGCCTACCCTCGTCTTAACAAAGTGAAGCTATAGGCCCGAAAGCCCAAATTCGAATCATCCTAACCAATAGAATATACAAAAATTAATAAAAGGAATGATTAATTCAATCATATTTCCTCCTTTATGGAATAATTTTTTTAAATAATGCTACGAATCAAATGACTTGAATTATTAAGAGACATTGTTATTTTTTTTTGAGATATTAAATTTGAGTGCCACGTAGGCTGGCTTGTAAATAAATCGAATATTCAGCGAATCATTCGTGAACTATTTGACGAAAAGTTTGTTTATGTTCGTTTATTTATTAAACCAACGAATACGAATAAGATTTTGTATTCATTTATGTTCGTGAACATTCGATAATATATTTGTTTATGTTCGTTCATTTATGTTCGTTTACTTTCGTTCGTTCATTTATGTTCGTTTATGTTTAACCTAATATCTCTATACTCATTTAATATATTAAGGCCCAATAAATTTTATGGACGATTCTCATTAATATTTTAAAATTCAAGTAATTTTAAATACAAACAAAAAGCCTAAAATAATTAAATACAAATTAACTATGAAGTTTCAATTTATACTAATGAATTTTATGTGATTATTGTTGTTGTGGTTTATGTTCATTTATTTGGTTCATTTACGTTCGTTTATGTTAATTATTGTGTTCGTTTATGTTCGTTTACTTGTATTCGTTTATGATTTAAACGAACGAACATGAACGAACACTAACAAACTATATTCCTTAACAAACACGAATAAGAAAATTTTTGTTCCTTTATATTTGTGTTCATTCATTTATTCGATTAAAGTTAAACATACGAACATAAACATACTCCTTCGTATTCGTTTGATTTATTTATAGGCCTACATATGTGAAAAATCTCCCCCTCTACCACGTTTTTGAACCCAATCAACCAGGTCAACCCATGAAGTAACTTGCTGAGCCTGTAAAGTTAAATCATTCGTTTTTGTTACATAAATTAAATTATTTATTTTAAAATGTGATTATTTGTTAGGAAAATAATGAGAAAATGCGCATCCTCCCCTAATAATGAAGATTATGAGTGTTAAGATGTTTATTTTTATTTTCTTTGTAACCACCGCCACCTGCTGCCTGTCTGCCTTCTACCAAAGTCACCAACTATTTCCATGGCTGGACTCTTCTAAATTTCCCAAACTACCCCTGTCATCTATTTCTGCCTTTCATCTCCCACCAAAATAATTGCTGGAGCTCCGGTCGATCTGATTTCATCTGAATGGAAACGGCGAAAACTGGACGATCGGCCGCGAAAGAAAACGGCGCGAGTATCGAGGAATGTCTTAGCGTTTTCAAGTCCGATAAGTTCGACGCCGATGCTTTTGTTCAGTCCAAATGTTCTCTCGACGATAAGGTTTATTTCTTCATTCTTTTGTTCATTTCTTTGTTTTCTTGGTAAAAGAAATGTCAGTTTTTTTCAATAATAAAACGATTTACGTTGCTTCCTTCAGGAAATAAGACAGCTATGCTCATACCTGTTGGATTTGAAGAGAGCTTCAGGTGAAGAAATGCGTAAAAGTGTGTATGCTAATTATTCCGCCTTTATACGGTAAGGCGTTTTAGCCTTCTTCAGCTTTACTTTACTATGCTATGATGTGCTCTTTGTTGTTGCTGAATCAAATAAGTACTAATACGATTAAAATCTGCTTGTATATTGCAACTAGGAAAAAAAAAACAAATCTTTCGTACAATAGTTTTTGTTGTATTGCTCTAATAAAATTACTGCTTTGGATCGTAAGACATTTGGCATTCTTTACTGCAGTACATCTAAGGAGATATCTGATTTAGAAGGAGAGCTTTCGTCTATTAGAAATCTAATGTCAACACAAGCAACATTAATTCATAGTTTGGCTGAGGGAGTTCATAAAGATGTGTCGTCCCCCAGAGCTTCTGAAAGTTCTACAGCTAGTAACTTGTTAACTATCGAGGATAGAGAACCTTCAGATCTGGAGAAATGGTCGGCTGAATTCCCTGATCTCCTGGATGTTTTATTAGCTGAGAAGAGAGTCGATGAAGCTCTGGCAGCAATTGATGAAGGAGAGCGTGCAGTTTCTGAAGGGAAGGAAACAAATTCATTGAGTCCTGCTGCACTCGCATCTCTAGAGACTGCCGTTATTGGGATCAAGCAAAAGTTGGCTGACCAGCTTTCTGAGGCTGCTAACCAACCCTCTACGCATGGTGCTGAACTTCGTGCATCAATATTAGCTCTTAAAAAGCTTGGTGATGGGCCACGTGCTCATACTTTGCTTCTTAATGCGCATTTCCAAAGATATCAATATAACATGCTTAGCCTTCGCCCATCAGGCACCTCATATGGAGGAGCATATACTGCTGCGCTCTCACAGATAGTGTTCTCTGCTATTTCTCAAGCTGCCAGTGATTCCTTAGGTATTTTTGGTCAGGAACCAGCTTATACTTCAGAGCTTGTAATGTGGGCTACAAAACAAATAGAGGCTTTTGCCCTTCTGGTTAAAAGACATGCGTTGGCTTCTTCAGCAGCTGCTGGTGGTCTAAGGGCTGCTGCAGAATGTGTTCAGATAGCTTTGAGTCATTGCTCATTGTTGGAAGCTCGTGGCTTGGCTCTTTGTCCTGTGCTTGTGAAACTCTTTAGGCCTATTGTTGAGCAGGCACTCAATGCTAATCTGAAAAGAATTGAAGAAAGCGCTGCAGCTTTGGCTGCTGCTGATGATTGGGTGCTAACATATCCCCCGGGTGGTACTTGGCAATCTGGCTGGCTCTCGAGTGCATCCGTTGGTAATACAACAGCATTTCAGCATAAACTATCAAGTAGTGCCCATCAATTCAATTCAATGGTCCAGGTGAACGGTCTAATTTAATATAAAAACTTCTTTCTTGTGTGTGTCGTGGATGAACATGATAATTTTTCTAAATAGTGGTTCCTTCACAATGGAAACCAAAATTTGCAACATAATTTGCATTTAAGATACTAGTACTTAGATGCCTATTATATCATTTTTTCCTTGGTTATGCAGTTTCAACACTTTTTTGTTGAATATTTATTTTGTTTTTATGTGGTTGTAATGAGTCTGCTCTTCTCTTTAAATGTTTTGGCATTACTTGAGTAATAAAAAAATAACTCTCCTAAAGATGTCATCTCCAATAGTATGAGGCTCCTTTCAGCCCCAGGACTTTCATTAGTCTTCACGAGGTCTATTGGATGGTTATGCTGCTATTTTTTTTCCTTCCAATAAAATTTCTACTGCACAGGGATATATTTCTGAATATAGTTCCCTGTCTTGTTTACCAAACTGCTTGCTTATCTATCTTCTGTCTTAGTTAATTACGTATATCTCAAATTCTATAGGTTAAGCAGCTAATTAATGTTGCTTTATGATGTTTTCTCGGACATGATATTTGTTTATCGGTCATGATTGAGGCCTATTCGTTCTGTTTGGCCCTAGTTTTATGTCTTTTTTAATTTTTGTTCTTTGTGGTTGCATGACCTCTCCTACGATATTGTTAACTCACGATCTCAATTTTGGCATGTTAACAGTTGGAGATTTGTAGATTGATGTTGTATGCACCTCTCTTTAATCTTATTCATTTTGTCATTTAATGGGATTTTACCCTTTCATTAATTGTGATGCGTGTTCTGTTTCCTATTGTAGGATTTCTTTGAGGATGTCGGACCACTATTAAGCATGCAGTTGGGAGGGCAAACATTGGAAGGTTTGTTTCAAGTGTTTGATTCGTATGTAAATATGCTCGTTAAAGCATTACCCGGTTCAATGGATGAAGAAGCGAACTTTGAGACTACTGGAAATAAAATCATTCGAATGGCTGAGACTGAGGCCCAACAAATTGCATTGCTAGCAAATGCCTCATTGTTGGCAGATGATCTTCTTCCGCGAGCAGCCATGAAGCTGTCCCCAAATCTGGCTAGTTACAAGGATGATCTCCGTAGAAGAAATTCAGATAGGCAAAATCGTCCTCCTGAGCAACGAGAATGGAAGAGGCGCCTTGTGAATTCAGTTGAGAGACTAAAGAACACGTTTTGTCAACAACATGCCCTAGATCTCATTTTCAAAGAAGAGGGTGATAGTCATCTTACTGCAGAAATGTACATTAATATGGATAATACTGCAGATGAGGTGGAATGGTTTCCATCTCTAATATTTCAGGTGATTTTATGATTCTTTCCTTGAATATATGCGAATATATCATTACGTGTGGTTTTCTAATTTACTGTTTACTTGGCTTTTAACATCTCGTAGCATCTCGTTTGTAATGTAATATTTCTTTTTTCACACTTAGGATTTCAAATTCTTCCTTGATTAATAAATGATTTGTATATTGTACTTGATGCAGCTTGTATTCAATATTTTAGATGTTAGTTAGAAAGTTCTCACAAGCTGGGTAAAATTGTTTTTTCTGTAATTTTGTTCTTATTAAGGCTTTTGGTAATTTAGTGTAGTTTAAGGTATCTTTTTGCAAAAATCTTAGCCAATGAGGGAGGTCTTAGGAGCTCCATATAAACACCCGTTCAAAATCATATTTTTTTAATAGATTTTGGGTAACAAAGGTAATTTTTAACACATGGATGCTTAGAGCCTCTTGCCTTCCATTCTCTGTTTTTTCTATTATTCTTCCTTTCTATTTACAGCCTAGGTTTTGGGTGTTAAAAGATTTTCGCTAATTTTTTAATGTGGTTTCTTTCCTTCGATATTTTCTCTACACTCTGGTTTTGGGAAATCTTATTTCCTCATCATGATATATTATCATCATTCAGGAACTCTTTGCAAAACTAGACAGGATGGCTAGCCTGGCGGCAGATATGTTTGTAGGAAGGGAGAGATTTGCTACATTGCTATTGATGCGGCTTACAGAAACTGTCATCATATGGCTTTCAGGAGATCAAAGCTTTTGGGATGATATCGAGGAAGGACCAAGGCCTTTAGGTCCGCTTGGATTACAACAGGCAAGTAAACACATTTGTCTTTTGCTTTCAAATGTACCCTGGATTGTTAAAATTGAACTATTTCTTGTACATGTGCAGCTGTATTTGGATATAAAGTTTGTCATATGCTTTTCTTCCCAAGGTCGGTACCTATCTAGGAATTTGCATAGAGTTGTCAATGAGATAATTGCTAGAGCGATGACCGCATTTGCTGCTACAGGGATAGACCCGTATAGGTAAGCACCAGTGGTTCTTTTTCTTATCAGATCTATGAGCTGTTTTCTCATAGTTGTTATCATCCTTGGGCTCCACAACTCTATAATCTATAATTGTTTGTATGTTCTGAATGAATGCATAATAGTGCTTGATTTTGGGATATGTAACGTCTATTTGTATATGCTTAAAGTGTTGGCATTGAATCATTTTGGTTTACTGTTGTATGTCAGTGTGCTGGCCGAAGACGAGTGGTTCAACGAGATATGTCAAGACGCAATAGAACGATTAAGCGGAAAACCAAAAGCCGTTCCCGAGCGGGATCTGTACAGTCCCACTGCCTCTGTTTCAGCACAATCCATCTCATCTGTCAGATCACATGGGAGTTCCTAGCCATTTCTTTAACCTTTGTATATTTGAAGGCTAACATAATGGGTAATGAATCTCTCAATTTTTTATTATTATTATCATTTGTTGAATGCATCATATCTACCGTCACAAAGCTGGGATTTCTTTGATCCCTGCTTGCATTCTTTTTATGTAAATGTTGATTGCTTGATACGATCGGGAAACTAACTGATTTATTATTCTTTTGTACCATTGTTGAAATCCTCAATTCATTGAAGTATATATGTATTATTGAAAATAAATTATCGTGGAATAAAATTCTATGTATTTTATTGTAAGCTGAGTAGTCTATTTGATATGGAAACTAGAAATATTAATCGAGTTTAAATTCAATGGTAAGATTACATTTTATTAATCTAAAAAAAGTTAGATTCCATGCCTGATTATTGGACCTGGGAAGAGAGCTTCTGAGTGAGATTTGGGGTTTAAGAGCTGCCTCACAACATCTCTCATTGTAGGTCTCCTGCCTGGCTCCTTTTCAGTACATCTCAAAGCTACCAAAAGCACATTAACAACCTGCTTTCTCACCCCACATTCCACCAACTCATCCACAATTTTGGAATCCACGACCTCCTCGATTTCGGCCCCTTCTCTAGAAATCAATCTTACCCACCCAACGATATCTGTCTCGCTGGTAAATGACGGATCCAGTGCCCTCTTCCCACTTATCAGCTCAAGCAAAACCACCCCGTAGCTATACACATCGGACTCCTTGCTCCACGTTGTTCTATATGCATTTTCTGCCAAAATCCCAATATCCACGTAATGTAAACTCTGTACTTAAATAAATGAAACCAAGGTCAAGGTTATTATGCTTACCTGGAGCAATATACCCAACTGTACCCGCAACTACCATAGATGGTCCCGGATTGGCCGATTCATCCAGGAGCTTAGCGATTCCGAAATCGGAGATATGTGGTTCCATATTGGAGTCGAGAAGTATGTTTTCCGGCTTGATGTCTCGGTGAACTATAGCAGGATCACAGTCAAAATGGAGATACTCTAACCCGTATGCCGTCCCTAGTGCAATCTTATAGCGGTCACTCCATTTCAGGATTTGAGCGTGATTTGTTTTGTTATCATGTAAAACGTCATGGAGGCTCCCATTTTGCATGTACCTGTATATGATGAATCCGTAATCTTTTCGTAACGAAAAGTCTTCCAATCTCACCAGGTTTCTATGCTTAACTTTTCCTATGGTTTCGGTCTCTCGAACCATACTTCTGCTTCCTCCTTTATTCTTTGTGACGCTTATCTTTTTTACAGCAAACTCACTCCCTGGACTCAATGATGCCCTATATACAACTCCATGCGCCCCTCTTCCAATAATATACCTCTCATTTAGATTCTCAGTTGCCTCCATCACTTTGCTCAGTAAAGACGATTCTCCTTCCTCATGACGCACCTCCTTTCTTTTTTCGCAGAAAAAGAACATTGCAACCCCAACTAGGAGCACCACCGTCACTAGAGATGAACCAAGGGCTATCATTGCAACTTTCAATTTGCGAAGGCCCCTTCGACTTCTCAATTGCTCATTGCAAGGATTGAGATGGTTGCTTCGAGGACAAGTCTCCTCACCTGATGGGAGACAATTGATGCATAAGCCAGGATTGCCGAGGAAAGATGATGGGGATGAGTTCACAAAACGCATCATTATTCCTGGTATTGGACCGGTGAAGTGATTGGAGGAAACATTAACTTCAACCAAGGAATCCATTCCATCAAGAACTGTTAAAGTTCCTGTTAGATTGTTATTCGATATATCCAATCGAACCAGTTTGAACAAATTTCTTAAATCCGAAGGAATTTCTCCGGTCAAAGCATTGCTGCTCAAATTCAGGGCATAAATCAGATTCTTCATAGATCCAATGGATGATGGAATACTGCCCCCAAAGGGATTCCCCCCAAGTTGCAGCTCAGAAAGCATTTCGAGTTCTAACAAGAAAGACGGAATGGCACCGGTAAATCGATTTTCGCTTAGAGTCAGAGTCGACAAACTTTTCCAGTTCGTCAAAGCATGCGGAACTGAACCATTCAATGAATTGAACCCCACGTCAAACTCTAACAATTTACTGCAATTTGACAACTCAGATGGTAAAGAACCTTGTAAAAGGTTGTGAGAAATATTCAGAGTCTGAAGGTCTGCAAGGTTTCCTAACTCTGAAGGTATATATCCCAAGAGCCGGTTCATGGAGAAATTTATGTAAGTGATATTTTTACACTTACCCAAGCTGGATGGTATTGGACCAGTGATGTTATTTTCACTGATGTCTATGTGTGCAAGATTTGGATTCCCTGCAAATTCCGGGAGCACACCCCCGAGGTTATTCTGCTTAAGAATCAATCTCCACAGAGTTTTACAGCCTCCGACGTCAGCACTTATGCTTCCATTAAGCTGATTTTGGCCCAAATTCAGCACCCTTAACTTCTTTCGAAAGCAAAGAGTTTTAGGAATTGAACCAGTGAAATTGTTGTTCGTGAAATCTAACTGATGTAAGCTGGCATTAATCCCCAAATTTTGAGGGATAACCCCAAAAAGTGGTTGTCAAATAATGAGATGTTTTTCAGCTGCTTGAGCTCGGTGATCTCCGCAGGCAACTCCCCGGTAAGATTGTTCTTATATAAAAGGAGATGCACTAGGCTTGGAATCCTCCAAATGCTGATAGGAATCTCACCACTCAAACGATTCGTAAACAGCTCAATGTCCATCAATTCGCTTAGCATACCCAATTCAGTAGGAATTTCCCCCTCGAGTCGATTGTCATACAACAGTAGTCTTTGCAGAGACTTGCAGTTCCCAAGTTGAGGTGGGATTTCCCCAGACAAATGATTTTCAGAAAGGTCAAGCTTCACAAGCTGATCTAGTTGGCCAAAGGAAGAGGGAATGGCACCTGTTAAGTTACTATGCACAACAACCAGCTCAATCAAGCTACTACAATTGGCTAACCCCGGTGGAATACCGCCGGTAAACGCGTTGAATGACAGAGCCAAAACACTCAAACTCTTGCAGTTTCCAGGATCCGGAATCGCACCCCGGAGATCGTTCTGCTTCACATCTAAATATATAAGGCTTTCAAGATTCATCAGACTCTGGGGCAACACTCCAACCAAATGATTCCCTCCCAAGTAAAGTTCTTGCAGATGGCTACAATTCACTGTAGACTCCGGTATGGTACCGAACAACTTATTGTCAAATAAATACAAAGCCACAAGCTCACTCAAGTTCCCAATATTCATTGAGATTGAACCACTCAAGTTGTTACTGTTCAAATACACATTCTCTAAACTAGTGAGTTGGAACAATGATTCTGGTATTGCACCACTCAAGTAATTGGAATACAAGTTTAGGTACCTCAGCTTCTGCAAGGAGTTGAAGGATTCAGGTATTGGTCCAGTAAGTTCATTTACAGATAAATCCAAGTAATTGAGTGAAGTGCAATTGGCCAAAGCCGAGGGTATAGGACCAGAGAACATGTTGTTGCTCAAATCAAGTGTGTTCAAATGGTGGAGAGCACCAATTAGAGGTGGCACTTGGCCAGAAATGGCTAAGCTTGTAAGGTTAAGTGTGAGGACATGGGTGGTGGTAGGGTCACATTCAACCCCAACCCATCTACATGGATTATGGTGAGAAGCATTCCAGGAAGAGGTTAGGGAAGAAGGCAAGGATGACCAGTGGGGGAGAAGTGACAAGAGGGTTTTCCCATCAGAATTCAAAGCACAAACAGGGCTGTTTTGTTTCAAAAACAAGAAACATAACAGGATAAATGAGAAGACAAAGTTACAATTGGCCATTGTTACTCAAAGGGTAACCAACTAACCGGGAGATAAATTGTTACCTTTCTTAACATACACCATACATATATATATGTATGTATATGTATATCCAGCAAGCCAGTGCAAGAGTTGAAGTTGAAAATTGCAATTGCAAGTGGGTGAAAACTGGAAAACACCCAAAGTCGAAGCAGCCAGTGCCTAGCAGCAATTTGAAGTAATGACAGAGAGAAAGAAGAGGGTAGTGTTAGGCGATACACAAGTACAATAGAATTGGGTGTTCGTCACTTATTACATAGCATGTGTGTGGGTTTGAAATTAAAAATCTAATCTTTTTGTGTAGACTGATTCTTTTCATTTTCAACGCGGTTTCTGGTTTCTGGTTTCCACTGGCGGTGGGAAAGCAGCTTTTTTTGTTATAAATTTAAGATACATACTCTAGCTTGATTTTCTTGGGGAAAACTAGGGTAAATTGCATTACAGGTCACTCAGTAATTGATAAGATTAGCAATTTGTTACTAAATTTAAAAATATACAAATGAGTAATTCAATTAATTAATTATTATAAATAATTCATTCTGTCCTTAAGTGTGAACACACGATAATTTTTTAGTTATATTGAAAGACCCGAATGTTGCAATCGATAAATTAAATGTACTTGTTATACTTGATAAATAAAATAATTTGATTATAATTAAAAAATTAAAGCACGTTTTATTTTTAATGACAGAATAATTTGTTTATAAATACCGATAAGTGGAATGACCTGTTTGTTAATTTTTGAAATTTAGTGTTTCGTTTATTGTTTTATCACTGAATGGCTTACGATGTAATTTATCCAAAAATTTAACAGAGATTTTATATGTTATCCTTTGGAGGGAATTGCTTTCCGTTTTTAAGAGAAAATTGGTCTAAAAAGAATGATTTGAATAGTTTAATTAAAGAATAGATGGTAGGTAATATAATAAATTAATTTCAGCTGTTATAATTCCATTAGCTAGTTTGGGTAAAATATTTTTTAGGGTAAACTATATATTTAGTCACTTATTTACTTTTACAATTTGTTTTGGTCATTTATTCTTATATTTTTATTTTGATCTCTATTTAATTATTAGCCTAGATATATTATTTATGATAATTTTACAATCAACACTTATATTTCAATTATATTATATTACTACTATAAAAAAACGTAAGAATAAATGAAAGATAAAACTAATAATTTATTTTATTTTTAATGGGTGGTGCTGATAAGGTTGATATTAGTTCAATGACAATTTTATATTGTTTTTTTAAATTTAAAATTAATACGAAATAATATTTATTCAAAAAAATTATTTTTTTAAAATTAAATGTTGATATTCTTAACATACATTATATTTAAATTTAAAACTTCAAGATAACAATAAAAATTTTAATCACTCAACTTATTTGATTTGCATTTTCATGTTGATTTTTTAAAAAGCACTAAGTTAGTGCGTGTGATTGTGACACAGACTTCACCCTTACTTTTAACTACCACTAATAAATGCATATAAATTGTAGGCACAACACACGGAAGACTATTGCTTTCCCACCTACATACGTAAATTAGTTCATTCGAACTCGAGTATTATTAAATTCGATTTGATTTTAAATTTTAAAATAGAGATAATCCGACTCAAAAATTCATAAGTTTAAATTTTTTAAACTTGATTCGAATTCAAAATCATAAACTAAAGCTCCTAAAAGCTCGAAAATGCTCGAAATAAAAAAAATTAAACTTAACTCGATAAAATCCTCAAACTCGAACTCGAACCTAAACTTTAAATACATAAAAATTTATACTGCATTTTTAAAAAAATAATATATAAATGTTAATATTATTAATAATTGATTTTCTAAAAAAATAAATCTTAATATATTATATTTTCTAGCTATTCACGAACTTTGCAGATAGAGTGTCAAGTAGCTCGTTTCAGCTCATTAAGAACTCGAGTCGAGCTCAAGTTAAATTCTTTCGAATCGAGTATTTATCAAACTTTGACCGAATCAATCTCAAATAACTTACCGCCAATATCGTCTCATTTAAATTCGTATTCTCACCTCCATTATTTTATTATAGGTCAAAATCTGTCTTCCCACTAAAACTTACTGCTACTAAAATAGGTTTGAGACTGAAAGCCTGTTTGTGTCGATTTGAGGATGTGATCGTCTGATTTTCTTAAAATATAAAAACTGTGTTCCTAAATGATTTAAATCTGAAAAGTTTTAACTTCGATGAGATTTTAACTTCAAATTTAGAGAAATTGTAAGTCTATAATGATTAAGATTTAAGCTTGAATTTGAGATTTAAATAGAAATTCTTTATATACTAATTAATAATAAAAATTGACTGTTTAGTTGTTTACCACTTCAAACAAAATTGAAATTTCAAATTTTAGAAAACATAGGGACTAAAATTAGCACAATTAATTTAAAAATTCCGCCATTAATATACATGATAATAGCGTGTTATATATATATATATATATATATGTAGTGGGTTAGGTGAGGGAAAGCCTACATGAACACAGGGACGAAGAATGTTGTGGCCCCCAAATTTTTAGGTTAAATATTTTTGGGTCCCTCATACTTTTAAAAGTAAACTAATTAATTCTCACCCTCTTAATTTCCTTGGGTCTCTTAAGGTCCCTCTTAGTTTTAAAATTTTAAAAAAAATCAAATCTTAATTTATATTTTTTCGGTTTAAGTATTTCTTAGTTCTATATTTATTTTGAAATTAGACAAATTAAGTATAACCGTTAATTTTTTTTATTTAAATACTAATTTTTGAGACTAAGATAAAATCAATTTTAGTTCAAACAGTTTTGAATTTAAATAATTTTTTATTCAAAATAAAGAAATCTACGTTGTTAGTTTTTTATCAATGAAACAAAATATATCAAATTCAAGTTCATCGAATTAAATTTCTGTTCGTGATAAATTAAGTTTTATGTTTATACTAACCTCTTCTTCGAGAAGGAAGGAAACCAATGGGGTAAAGGCTTGTGTAGCTTTTTCAATTTGAGCGTCAGTAAATTCATCAATATATATACAAACATCATATACGACGATATATATCACTTAATAAAATCGTAAATAAAGTTTGATATAATATATATCTAAATAATCAAGAATATGTTATGTCAAATTATAAAAATAAAAATTAGATGCAAAACCATACATTAATAAATAAAAAATACCAAAATATTAATATATTTTTACGATCGATATCCGATTTGTTAACTAATTAATTTAGATTAAATACTTCAAAAATTTCTTATAATAATAATTTTCTATATCTAATTTTTCTGAACTTATGGCTATCAAAATAGCATTGGATATCTTTATTGAAGTTAAATGGGTGAATAAAGTTGAATTAGATTTGCATGTGGTTTTATATTGGATCAAAAATTCTTTACCTAGGCCATGACATTGGTAGGAGATCTTTGGTGGAATCGATTTATCGTCCTGCGTCATAGGGGGTGTTCAATTTGTGTATGCATTAAGATCACAGAATGGAATGGCAAATCATTTAGCTAAAGCTGGTTTGAATCGGTGTCAACTTTTCAAAGCGTGGTGGAAGTAGAACTTTTTGGAGGAGCAATTTTGGATTATAGGTTATCTTATGCTCTCTTTTGCATTGTATTCACTTTTCTTCTAGGTGATATTTTAACTATGCTTTGGATGGATGGTGATTTCTGTCTGTATTACTGAGTTGATGGTACTCTTTCCTCCATTAAAACCAGGGAGGGTTTTAATGAGGCCTTTAATTTCGATTTTAACACTATGATCTAATGAATAAAAAATCATATTTTACGGATCAAAAAATAAATAAGGAGAGGTGTGTTCTGCAACATTCAAATCACACCCAAAACCAAAACACACAAAGCTAGCATAGCCATGGCTTCCTGTCAACTAAGGGAACCTCGATCTAGCGACCAAATACAAACAGAAGGCGAGCTTTGGTGGGACTGATCTCCACTGGCTTTTTGACGCGTAATAGTGGTATCATCTGCTGTAGGAGTCATTAGTTTTGCAACTCTTTGCCACTCCATTCCATTATTATTTTGGTGTGCTGAAAGTTTCTTTGGAGTTCGGGGGCAGCATCTTAATGGTCGTTATGGTTTTGTTTGCACATATGCTGATTTAATGTACTTTGGTGCTACCCTTTTTTTAGGAGTGACAGTTGCTAGGATGGGCTGTTAATTGTGGACGTTTTTGTTGTTTTGTGTTGAGACTGTTCTCTTCTGTCGGGGTGAATGTACTCTTTTTCTTCCATTTGCGCAGAGGGACTAGAGAGAGAAAAGCTCCAGTGGCTTAACCCATTTTGTCATTTAATTAATTTACTGCATTTGTGTTGTTTAAAATCTCGTTGGTGAGCAGGAAAGAAAAGCTTGCAAAAACCCTAAACTTGTTTATCCTCCTCTATTATATCTTCTTTTCTCTCTACCCGTCTCTATTTTCTTGAGTTTATCACAAAATCCATAACAATTTGGTGCTCTCGTTGAGATTGTCAGCAACACAAGTTTTATTAACAGACTTGGAAATATTTACATTCAAAGACTTGCAAACAGATCATAAAGTGTGAAAAGAGGGATGACCCAAGCGTAGGGATGGCAAACGGGCGGATCGGGTGCGGATACCCTCTCCCCCATCCCCATACCCACCTAATATTTTTCAATCCACCACCCGCCCACCACCCATGATGGGTACAAATTTTCAAATCCACACCCGTCCACGCGGGTACATTTTCAAATCCATCCCCACACACACTACCCACTAGCGACATACCCATCTAGACCCGCCTGACAGCAAACTAATGGGATGTTGGAGTTGGTTCCCAGACAGTTCGTGATGGGATAGCAGCGCATGTTTCAATTTGTTAGAGGAGTAGCTCTACGAATGTTATGGAGACAGATTGTAGGGAGCATGTAGTCGCAGAGCTGGATTATTGTGTTGCTTTCGATGTTAATGCTCATAGTGCGCCTAATATGGGTTTTGAGGGGCTAAAGAACATAGAAACTGATGTTTTTGATGTTAATGCTTATAGTACGGCTAATTTGTGTTTGGATGGGCAGCATGGGCT